GAGAGAGAGAGAGAGAGAGAGAGAGAGAGAGAGAGAGAGAGAGAGAGAGAGAGAGAGAGAGAGAGAGAGAGTCATTGTTCTCACCATCTCGATCGCCGCCCATCCAACTGCTGAACTCCAATATTTTGCAACTATAAGGCAAACGCTCGTTTATTCCAATGCTCCTCAGCGCCGTGTCGACTCTCCGGAGAAACCGAGGAACGCAATTCCATACCGTGTCAGTTAAATAACTCATTCCCGCCCTCATCTCATCTTGCGGTGTCGGTTGGACTCTACGAATTTCGTCCGTCCGCCATGCCGCTTGGATCTGCTCAACGAATCGCCAATCAAATGCAGGAGAGGCATAATCCATTCCATCAAGTCAGGATACAGACCCAAATAGAACACACAGTCCTTATAGCTGTATTTGAGGCAACTTTCAGTCTAGATACAGACTTATGCTCCATTTCCTCTTCGTCTTGCCCCTGAAGAGAATGCCAATCCAATCCAATCCAAGAGAGATACCAATCGTTTGCATGTTAGGTACACATTGAGGCCCCACTAAGATTCATCATCATGCATGCAGGCGAGGAGGTATCACTCGCAAAGAGGATTGCATTTAGCACCTGAATCTGGACATGTTCGAGGAGAGGTGCAGAAAATCGCAACCGATCTGCTTTTTTGAATTCTTTTCTGCATTTCTGCACCAAACACACCCAGATGCAGACGCTTCATCCAATCCACTTAGCGAGCGGGACCTTGCCCCAGGATAGGATAAACCAGGAACATCATAACGGCAGATTCGAAAATGGTCCTCATATCGTTCCCAAAAAAAAAAAAAAAAAAAAAAAGAAAAAGTCGATAGATTCAACATCCTCATCTCCATTTCAAAAAAAAAAAAATCTTCAATTTTTTTTTTGATCTCTTTACCTGTCGATGAAGCTCCTCTATAAGTTCTTTTTTGTCATTTGGCCTTAGGATGCTTCCGCCTTCATGCAACCTCAGCAGCGTCGTCTTGATCTTTGCATGTTTGCGAAGAATCGATCTGCGGACCGATTGCGTTGGGTGCGCCGTCAACACCAAATCCACGGACTGCGATTTCAGCGACTCAAAGATCTCTTCTTTGCTCTTCCCCAACCTGACCAGTTTATCCAACGTTTCCGCAAAGGTCGATTCCGTCAACGCACTTCCTTCGTCTGCAATGCTGCCCGTTCTCGTCGTCGCCCTTCGTCGCAACACCATCTGCACCTCTTCTGCCAAATTTTCTAAGTTCAACATGTGGGAAAATGCGCTCGCGAGAAGGATGCCGTCAGATGGGGGCAAATCATCAATAAATTCGACGAGAGCATCCAGATCAGCCACATTCGACGTTTCCGCATACGTTGCCGCCATGGTGTAACATTTTTTCACCTGTGCATTTTTGCAAATTCACAAAAGAATTGAAAAAAAACAACAACAAAACAAAACAAACAAAAAAAAAGAATAAGATTTCCAAATCATTTCGCTGTCGCATTTTGCTAGTACTTTCCTGACCTTCATTTACAAGCCATCAAAAAGTTATTTTGGGGCAAGTGGGGCAAAATTGCATCTCACCATTTCTAATGTTTTTTTTTTTTTTTTTTTTTTTGGGGGGGNTTTTTTTTTTTTTTTTTTTTTTTGGGGGGGGGAGGGGGCCTGAAAGTTCTTTTCTTTGGGGCACTGAAAGCCTGAAAGTTCTCTTCTTTGGGGCACTGTTTTCACACGAATAGAACAGACGGTCATATTTTATAGCTGTATTTTGAGCAACTTTCAATCTAGATACAGACCCAAATTTACTAATTTTTTTGGCGGGGAGGGAGGGTGTTAGCTCTGAGTAGTTATGCCACTTTGTCAGCCACCGTCTTCACCTGAACAGAACGCACAAGTCATTATAGCTGTATTTGGGGCAATATGCAGTCTAGAGACAGACCCAAATCGACCGCATCATCATTATAGCTGTGTATTGGGGCCAATCTGCAGTCGAGATAGAGACCCGACTAGAACGCACGGTCACTACAGCTGCTGTATTTGAGGCGACTTTCAGTCTATAGATATATACAGCGATAATGAACGGGTGTTCTATTCAGGTGAAGACAGGAGGAGCTATACCCATTTATAAGCCCCTTCCCAATCAGATTCTTCTCCTCTTAAAGGTCATATCCACTTCCCAAAACTTCTTCCCTCACCGCCCTATCCATCGTGGTGATCGGATAACCTAACCTAACCCTAAACCCAAACCAATGGCCATGGTTATGTAACCACCAAACCTATAACTGACCCCGTAACTGAACCAACGGCCATGGTTACGTTATATGGCCGAACCAATAACCAAACCCATAACCAAACCAGTAACCAAACCCATAACCAAACCAACATCCATTCATGTTTATGTAACTGCCTCAGCCAATAACCAAAACCCCTAACCGAGCCTATGTGCATCCAGGCCATGGTTGCCTGAACCAATAAACCGAGTCAGTGGCCGTCCCCTGTTGTGTAATTACGAAACCAATAATTGCATCAATAACCAAACCAATAACCGCCAAACCAATAACCAAACCAATAACCAAAAGCGATAACCAAACCAATCACCAAAACGGAAAACCGAAACCGATAACCGAAACCAATAACCGAAAGCTATAACCAAAAGCGATAACCAAAAGCGATAACCAAACCAATCACCAAAATGGAAAATCGAAACCGATAACCGAAACCAATAACCAAAAGCAATAACCAAAAGTGATAACCAAACCAATCACCAAAACGGAAAACTGAAACCGATAACCGAAACCGATAACCAAAACTCCACAGTAACCAAGCAAATGACCGAACCAATAACGAAACCAATAACTGAACCAATAACTGAATTGTTCAGGGGACGCTGGAACTGGTTTCCAGCAGGTGACGCTCCCCACCAATAGACGGAGCCCCTCCCCCGATGCTAGTGGTGTCTGCTCTTATCAGCACCACTAACACTGACGAGACGAGGGTTTCTTTCAAAAAAACAAAACAAAACAAAAAAAAAGCCGAAGCGATAACCGAAACCGAGAACCAAAGCAATAACCGAACCCAATGACCAAACCAGTAACCGAACCCATAACCAAACAATAACCGAACCAATGGCCGTCAGCCATGACAACCAATTTTCCCTTCGGCTTGTGTCCCACTGCAGGAATGATGGTGTTCTTGGTCTTGGAGTTAAAACCACCACTACCTCCGATCCTGTAATTGCCAACCCTGAATTTCAATGGGCACCGAGTTTTGCCGACCCTGGGTCCCATTGTATTTTACTATTTTCTTTTCTGGTACTCACGGCCATTGATCTGTTCTGAACAGTTTAATATC